CTCTTTATCTCCAGACTGGAAGTAGACATGCAGTCCCAGGACCGTGGAGGCTGAAAATTTGTTGTAGTCCTGGGAATGGGACCGATGTTGTTGTTGATGAATAATAAATCCTTTACCATTCTCCTCTCTGAAAAAAATTGTGCTTATGACACAGGTCCTGATCCAGTGTGCTTAACTTTACTCAGTGATTATTCAACAATACTACATACTTATAGTAAAATATGTGTATGAGTGTTTCTAAGATCAGGGTCATATACCCTTAAGAGTAAGGGTGTATAAAGGAAAGGAAAATGGAGAATCCTGGAAACTCCAGAAGAAAGTGGAGAACTGTCTGGGAAAAGTGTACTTCGTTTTGCAAAACAACTGCTGAAATATGAAATAATGCATGAAAAACTATAATTTGTTAGTGATCTTTAACACAGGTATATGCCATTCACTGGAAAAAGTTCTGCTTTGATACTACAAGCAGCACTAAAGATAAAACTATACATACCCAAATAAGGAGAAAATGACATTAGATTAAAAAAAAACTTCCAAAGTAGATTGGAATGTACTGTTCAATTGTGTAAACGTGAAAGTATTACTTTGTTCTTTTATTGGGTAATTGTAATAAAGCCTTTGAACATAAATAAATCCTTTCCATATAAGGAAAACAAGGAATATATGGTACTAGAAGATTTACCCAGCGTTATTCAGGTCTTTAACTCTAAGTTTTTTTGTTTTTCTTCATTTAAATCATTGTTCTGGCCGAGGATGAAGGGTTCAGTATGCAGGCTGCCCCAGAAAGAGAGGACAGTCCCAACCCCCTCTCACCATAGAAGCTTGAGGCCATATGAGAAGCACATTTTCATGGGCGCTGGAGCTGCAGTTGTTACAGCCAGGGGAAGAGGTGCGTGTCCCCCGACTAGGGGACAGACGACACGTAGACAAACTCTCTTAAATATGTAGTAGATAGCTGTCCCTTTCGCCATCCCTGCCTCCTGCGAGCCCAGTGGGTTATAGATGTCCCAGTCCCCATATTTGGCCCCTTGCTGTCCCCTGTGGTCTTTTCCAGTGTAACTGTCCCTCCTGCCAGACCCCTCCCTTTCCATTTTATAAGAAACAGTCAAATTCTTGGCATGTTCTAGTGTCTTGGCATAACCAAACCCCTTACCTTGCTTTAAGTTATAAGAGGAATCTGCAGACCAAATTTGGTGGTCCTAGCTCTTACCATTTAAAGAAGTTCTTGAACAAATGGATGGATGGACAGACACACACATTTCTAAAATATAGAGTAACATTTTTACCACATTAGCTTCAGTAAGAGTAAAGGCTGGTTCATCATTTGATTTCCACCCTGCTTTTCTCAGTGTTGTCTTTTTGCTCTCCTGCTTTTGCTATTTTATCTGAATTATGTCCTTTTTAAACTAGAAGAGTTTCTATCAATGTAAGAAGAATAAACTTTTGTAATAGGTCTGTCATCAGGGCACCGTAGAACAAATGAACTGACTTCCTTTTAACAATAACCACGATATGGTATCACTGATGTTATTACTTATATACATATTTAAAGAAATGGATACATCCCTTAACCTTCCTCTAAGGAGTTTTTCCACAAATAAACTGTAAATAATCATGTAATGTGCTGCAGGATCCCAGCTGCCACCATCCCCATGGGCTCTTAGCTGTCCACCCACGTTCCCTAGCAGAGATTAAAAGGTAACAGGAACTGATAAGCATGAGCTTATCGGTTAACTGTTTAATTCTTACGTTCCTGGTGTCCATTAGGATGCACTCTGTTTTCTAACTGAAGACAGTTGCAAGCATACAGTGCATTTTACGTCATTTTGAATTTTTTTAAATGATAGTTACAGATTGTTTGTGGAATTAAGCCTGGGGTTGAGGAAGTAAGAACCCCTTACAGCTTTATCTAGGCTCTCTGGACTGCTAGTCTAGGTATGCAGTGGTACAGAAAGCAGCTATTCTGTATCTGATGATCCTCCATGCACATTTCTTGGAGGAGGATAGGAAGGGATGGAGGGGGTTTTTTTCATGACCAATTCACCAGCCAATATAGCAAAGCTAGTGCCGGAGGCAGGGATGTGAAAGGTTAACCAATGAGCATCAGCCTAAACAAGTAATGCTTACCGGTTATGGGTACTCGATGGCGGCTGGAATAGCTCCCTGCCTGCTGCAAGCAGGGGGCTATTCCAGCCCACAGGGAGACCGCAGCAAGCAGGGTCTACTCTAGTGTCTAGAGCAGCCTCTATCCGCGGTGATCCTGGGTACCTTGCAAGCAGGGGTATTCCTGCATCCAGAGCAGTCTCTGTTCACAGATGGCTCAGGTGCTCTGAAGGCAGGGCTGCTCCAGCAGCCACCCCCCCAACACAGAGCCGGGAGCCAGCCCCAACATGGAACTAGGGATGGGAGCCCCATGAGCTGGGGGCTATTCTAGCTGGGCTGGAGAGGTCCCCAGCCCAGATCCCGCTTAGTCGGTTAGCCAGTTTAAATGTTACGTCAACCTAATGTTGGACTGATTAATTGACTAACCGGGATTTTACATCCCTAGTTAGGGATGTAGCTCGCAGCAAATTGTAGTCTTACCTAGAAGCCCAATTTGTCCCAGGTGTTGCTCCTGTGGTGGCACAGCTCCCTGCCACCCTGTATACAGGATTTGTTCCAAAGAAGATTACAGTGTTGTTAAGATGTCCCATTAATTAACTGGCAGAGCTAAGTGAAAAGAAACTGTGAGGTCGATCTGCCACATTCGGTTTTAGTTATTAGAAATCAATCCCTCTTGGGGTTCTTTCTCAGCTGGTTAACCTAGCTTGGAAGAACAATGGTAGAAATGACTCATAGGCTACAATTATTACAGTCTATTCCTCTTCCACTTGAAGCAAGAAATCAGACTTGCAAAAACAAGCTATGATCAAAGATGATAGCAGTGGCAGACTTCTGTTTAAGAATGCTCTGTGCTTTGGTGTACTCCCTGGTGAGTTATAGCATGTTTATAATTGGATTTTTGAACTCTTTTGCTGATCTTCCCACTCACTAGCAGCTTAAAGATGTTGGGAACGTTAAATTTTATTCCTGGAACTTTTGTCTGTGTAAGTACTGAGTATGTGGAGGAGCAGGAGAGATTCAGTGGAGTTATCTTTGAACAGTGTTGGAAACTCAGAGTGTTGCAAACTCAGATCCCAGTAGAGGAAAAGCATGGAGAAAAGTAATGGCATTAGGAGTACATTACTTGTTGTTTTGGGACTGGCTCACCAGTGTCAAAACACTTATTTTGAAGTTTGAAGAATACTGATTTCCCCCCTCCATTCCCCCTCCGATGTCACTTATTTTGAAGTTTGAAGAATACTGATTTTCCCCCTCCCCTGCCCCTCCGATGTTGCATGTGTAACCTAAGTCATGTTGGAGTTTCCCCTTTAATAAAAAAGTGGGCTGGAAGTTAGAAGGACAACTTCGGTGTTTCACGTGTCACATGCAGTCTTAAAATAGTGTGTAGATTTTTTGGGTTGGTTTGGTTTTGGAAGGTTGATCTGTTCTAACTCTCAGCATTCAGAACATGTGATTTTTCTGCAATGCAATTTGAAATGTAGGTAATAAATTACTTAAATTCTTAGGTTAGAGTGTCTAAACATCTGGTTGCCCTATTAACATATACCCGGTGTGCAGCAGCAGAGCTAAGGAACCCAAAATTGCTGGATATTTGTGAATTCATATTAATTATTACGAGCTTTGACATGAACGTAAGAATTTTGGTATTTGAACATTTTTTACCTCTTTTGTAGGTCTGTTAATCAGTGTGATTTGCAATGTTTTTAATATCTGACTGGTTTGAAAAACAAAAATTCTTATATGAGAGTTGTGTATAATACTTTTAGACTGATCCCATTCTTGATTAGTGCTTTATTAGGAAGATGGTAGATTGTGTGCCTTAACGCCATATTCTTTATATTGATCAAACTTTCTGTCCTTTTAATATTGTTCTTTCTATATAGGAATATAATGAGTTTAGATAGTACTTTTCTTTATCGATTCCTCCAGGCCTTTATTTGCTCACATTTATATGCCCTTCATTGTGTTGACTTAATGGTGGAAATGTAATATGTTATAAAATGAGGTACATCCGTCTAATCTTGTATTTAAATCTGTCATATTTTACAGGAAAATAAATAATGGCTAAACAACATTTTGTGTCTAACTTTATAAATGTCAGTCAGTAGCTTTATGGTGTATAAATATTAGACAAAATGATATACACAATATACCTTTTGTAAAAGCAAACTTAAAAAATTCAGAAACCAAGAACCACTTATCTCAACAGCAAGTTTATCTAATTGTATAAGTGAGGACAGAAGAATGTAAGCAGGCAGTATGGGAATGGAGGGGAATGTGGACAGTGGGTATGTATGTCGAACCTGCTCTTTAGGGAAAAATAGTAATTTTCACTCTCTGCTATTGATCTGCACTTCCAAAAGCATCACATTCCATCGGCCCTGGTTCTTGACTACCATGAGTAATCAGATTGATTTCACTGATACTGCTTATGGTAGTAAACTTAAGATTATGCATATTTGCAAGGGGCTTTAAATTGTAACTCTAAACTAAATGAGTTTAATAATGAATGTATAAGTGAGAGGCTATACTCTGCACTATTTATCTCCTAAATCCTGCAAAAAGCACTGTTCAATGAGCACTTCCAGTTTTCTCACTAGTTTGGCTCGTTGATATGTTTGCCAAGACCTGGTTTTTTGTTCATCATCAATAACTGAGTAAAAATGTATCTTTCTCTATCAGAATGACTGCTGACTGCATTTCCTAAAAGTGGTATCTTCAGCCAAGATTAAAAAGTACAACTTTTCCTCCCCTACAGAAGAATAATGGCTAAATAACTGAAAGTAATTCATTTTTTTTCATGACAGAAGTGCTTTCTTTTGGCAAATATTGCCCAAAAAAGGGCAATTCTACTAGAAAGGTCCATTCTACTCTATTTATATTCACGTTTGGTAAAGTTTCAGGGACCCATGAAGATGATGTTCTATGGATAGCCATGGCAGGTACCCATCAAGTCTGGGCACTCATGTTGGAATGTGGAAAACTCCCAAAAGGAAGGTACAGCAATACAGCATAATGATATATATTGACTATTGCAATCAGCTACTTAGCTATTGATGAACAAGAGTCTTAAAACTTCAAGGAGACTTTTATCTTCTTGGACAACACGTTAAAGACAGATAGACTTTGCATTATGCTAAATTGTTTAAATAGTAATTATAAGCCAAGTTGATAAACAATTTAAAATAAGAGCAGTTAATTGGCTGTGATTTGCAGCACCATTATTTTGGTAACTTATTTATCAAACAGAAGCTATAAGACTTTTTTCTGAATTATTTCAGACTTGTCTTTGAACCTAAGCTCTTGTTGTTTTTCTTAGTGATTTAAAGAAAGGAACCTGCATTCGATTTGCTGGGAGTGGGAATGAAGAGAACCGAAACAATGCGTACCCCCATAAGGCAGGCTTTGCCCAGCCTTCAGGTCTTTCTCTGGCTTCTGAAGAACCCTGGAACTGTATTTTTGTAGCAGACAGCGAGAGCAGCACCGTGCGAACAATCGCACTCAAAGATGGAGCAGTGAAACATCTTGTAGGAGGAGAGAGAGATCCATTGGTAATAGACTAACACAGCTTCAAACTTCCCTGCACTACCCTACCAGTATTTTTAAAGCTTTATTGGAGGAACTACTTTAGGGGCAAAAGGGTAGTTCTGGCTTCAGGCTCTTTCATTTCTTAATTTCACTGTTTAGTGTGCCAACGCGCGTTCCGTAATGCAGATTGTTGGGCAATAAGAACTGGACTGACCAACTCATTTACAAAAGCCACTGCCACATACTTTTATTCAGTGGATTTTGATTGCTATTGAAATGGGCTGGATTCACATTGAGTGTCTAGAATACAAAGGCTCCACATCCATATCCAATCCCCTAAGTGCTCTGTTTCCCATGAGTGCATTTTTTTTAAATTAGCCAGTTAATTTCCATTTAATTACAGTGGTTTGCACTGATTAGTGCCTTGTGTCAACATTGCATAACCAACTAATTGCACAAATTTAATTAATGCACTGTTTTAGAATTTGTTTGCCTTTGGTGATGTTGATGAAGCAGGAATAAATGCAAAGCTGCAGCACCCCCTTGGAGTTACTTGGGACAAGAAAAGGAAACTGCTTTATGTAGCAGATTCCTATAATCATAAGGTAAGTCAGTATAATATATTATGCAAAGCTGTATTAATATAACTCATTTCACCACTAGCATCAGTTGGGTAGCATCAGAAAAGCGTATCTCTGTGGTTCAGTAACAAAAAATGGTGTTTTTCAGACTTAAGGAAGCAAATGACATACTGCTTTTTTCCTCTTCATTTTGATCTTGGACTTTTATCTGGTTTACTGGGTGTCTAGACCTACATGTGCTGAAGGGCAGATACAGTGACCAGGAGAGGTAAAATAAAGCTCCAAACTACACTTCAGTCCAAGGCCTTTCCTTCCAGGCTAGTTTTATTAACACAAAAAAGATGCAAAAGAAGAGCAATTTAGAAAGCCTGGTCACAGCCATC